GAGTATGTTCCCCATATATATGGAGAACATTCTGCTTGGTTAACCTTTAAAAGAACCAGAAATACCCCTGCAAAAAAGAAGCAAACATTAGAAGAAAACTGGGCATTTCTGCCCTTTGCTCTGTTCTTACTGTGGTTGTGACTGTTAGTTCTTCTTTTGGATGTGTGTTTTTTGACCATTGTGGTGTATGGGTGTGTGGTTTTGGAGATGGTGTGGACTGATAGAGAAGCTCCCAGAAGGCAGGTGAATTCAACCATAACCATGAGAAGAGGAAGCATGAGCATAACTGGAGCTTGCATGATTTGGGGGGGGGGGCCTGAATCTTTCTGGTCTTCTTGTGCTTGAAGGCAGGAGCACCCAAGTAATCTTGCTGAAACTCCCCTCTGATGTGAGAAGGCAGAGCAGAGGCATTATGAAACTTAGTCATTATGGTGACATCATGACCGAGTTTAGACAAGGAGTCTGCAGGGCAATTGGCTTCCCTATAAGCATGAGAGAAAATGAAACTTTCACAGCTGTTGTAGAGGTCTAAGGCTGCTGAACCTTCATTTTGATGCACCAGGGGAACTTTTTACCATTGGTTAGCCACTGAATTAGGAGAGCAGAATCAGTTTCCAAATGGATTTTAGAGAATCCATTATCCAGACACCATTTGATTCCAATGAAGGCAGCTTTAGTTTCTGCAAAGTTGTTTGTTCCTTCCCCAAGAGGAGCAGCCATAGCATGGATAAACTTAGAACTGTGATCTCTGATGATCACTCCTGCACCAATCTTGCCTAGGTTTGAAAGAGCACTCCCATCACTGTTGACCTTAACAAAACCATAGCTTGGCTTATTCCATACTACTTGAGTAGAGATGGTTTGATGTTTTAGGTTCTCAATGAAGGGATAAAGATCCTGCCAGTTGAGAGGCCATTTGATTTCTGGAAAGTTGGCCATCAGCAACAAGTTAATGTCAGAATTAATGGAGAAAAGCACCCTAGTCAATGAAGTTGATTTAGCCCCATATTTTGCACTACACCCATTTTTCCATAAATTCCAACTGATAATGATAGGGAGTGAATGAAGGATGAGCTTTTGGACTTCATTATTATTGCGAAGGAGCCACCACTTCATCAGCAGAAGTTTGAAAGGCAGTTCTTCAGTTTGAATCCCCACAATGCCACCAAACTTTTTCCACACTATCTTGGCAAAATTTCCCCTGCTGAAGATATGGTCAACAGTTTCATTTGTGTGGAAGGAGCAGCATACACATCTAGTTACAGTAGGACTGCTGAAGGCAAGCACCCTGTCATCAGTGGGAGCTTATCCTGATGGCTCTCCAAAGGCAAAAGGACCACTTGAAGGGGATCTTCTTATGCCATGTCATTTTGTTGGAGAAATTAGGCTGTTTCTTAACTCTGATCAGCTCCCAGGCAGATGTACAAGTAAACCTGCCATCTGAATTAGGGCTCCAAATAGCAACATCTTGATTGTTATTGAAGAAGATGGGAGTCTGCATTATCAAGTGGATTATGTTGGCAGGAGCAGCTTCATTAAGTTTTTGGAGACACCAATGGACATTATCCCAAAAATGGGAAACTGTGACATTGCCTGGCCTGCCCCCCTCCTGTCTATGATCAGCTAAGGGACCAATACCTAACCAGTTGTCCCACCAAAAGCTGCAATTCCCTGAATGTAATCTCCAGAATATACTCTTCTCAGCTTTTTTTTGTTGGTCATTAATCTCTTCCATGTTTGTGATTGACCTGCATCCCATTTCTTGGAAATGGGATTAGCTCTTTTATAGTATTTGGCTTTCAGGAAACTACTCCATAAGGAATGAGTGGTTCTGAAGTGCCACCACTGTTTGTATTCCATAGCCCTGTAGATGTCATCAATTCTTCTAAAACCTAAGCCACCCTCATTTAGGGGGTAACATAGTTTGTGCCAGGAGGCCCAATGATACTTTCTTTTGTTGTTATCCATACCCCAAAAGAAATTTGCAGCAAGCTTTTCCACCTGTTTCCTAACTGTCTTAGGAGGGGATACAGCTGCCAGAAGGTGAATTGGCATCGCTTGGAGGACATGTTTGATCAGAGTGGCTCTTCCCCCATGAGACAACATTTTACCATGCCAACCCCTGATTCTGCTCACAATTTTGGAGACTAGGGAGCTGAAGTGGATGATTCTCAGCCTTCCAATGTACAGGGGGAAGCCCAAATATGCGAGAGGAGAAGACTTCTTGGTGAACCGTGTGACAGACTGGATTCTTCTAACAGCAGAAGGGAAGGTACAAGGAGAAGTCATGAAGTGACTTTTATGTCTATTAATCTGCTGGCCAAATGTGTTTTCATAATTGTTCAAAATCCACATGATTTTCTGAAGAGATGACCTTTTCCCTGAGGAGAAGATAATGATATCATCAGCAAAACTCAGGTGATTGACTTGAGGGCCCTTTCTTTCCATGTAAAAACCATTGAATATTTGGTCATGGTTAAGGATATTGAGCATTCTGGAAAGGAGTTCAGCACCTATGATGAATAAAGCTGGGGAAAGAGGGTCTCCTTGTTTTAGGCCCCTTGTGGAATGGAAGAACCCCCATCTGGATCCATTGACAATTACAGAGTACCAATTATTAGACATAGTCCTCCATATCATGTCAATGATCCTTTCTCCAAACCCCATTCTCCTGAGCATAATGCAAGTAAAACTCCATGAGACTCTATCATATGACTTGGCCATGTCTAGCTTGATGACCACATTTGAACCTTCATTAGGCTTCTTAATAGCATGGACAATTTCTTGAGCAAGCATGATATTTTCTGAGATATTCCTTCCTTTTACAAATCCAGATTGGCTGGCAGAGATAATTCTAGGTAGAATGGGGCCAAGTCTGGTGCAAATGACTTTGGATATGATCTTGTTGATGAAGTTGCTGAGGCTGATGGGTCTAAATTCAGTAAGAGAATTAGGGAACTCCACCTTTGGCAGAAGAACCAAGCATGCACTAGTCATGTACTTAGGCATAGTACATCCCCCAAAGAAGGATAGAACCACATTGAGGAGGTCATGCATGATGATGTCCCAACAGGATTGATAAAATTTGCCATTAAAACCATCTGGCCCAGCAGCATTGGTGGGGTTCATGGAGAAGACATCTTCTTTGAGTTCTGATAGAGTAGGATCTGCAGACAGAATGTCATTATCCTCCTGAGTGATCATGGAAGGGATACATGACAGTAGGTCTTCTCTGATAATTCCTCCAGGATCAGTGAAGAGGTTTTGATAGAAGTCACATGTTGCACTACCAATAGCCTCATCCCCTTGAATCCACTGCCCATCTTCATCTTTGATCTTGTGAATGTACAACTTTCTTCTTCTACCCCCGATGAGACTGTGGAAGTATTTAGAGTTTGCATCACCTTCCTTGAACCATTGAAGGTGGGTTTTTTGTTTAAGAAAGCCCTCCTCTAATTTCATGTATCTTATATATTGAGCTTTAAGGTCATGGAGTCTTGCCCTGTCAGTTTCATCATTGGTCTGAGCCCAAACCATCTCAGCTGCCTTGACTTTTTCTTCATATTCTTTAGCTTTTTGGAATGTGTCACCAAATTCTTGCCTTGACAACTGACTTAAGCTAGTAGATAAGGTTTTCAGTTTCTGATGAAATATCTACATTGGACTGCCAGATACCTTTGCATCCCATATTCCTTTCACAAATGGTTTGAAGTTTGCATTATCAACCCATAAGTTAAGGAACCTAAAATACTTGGTGCCATTATCTTGCCTAACTCTGATTTCCATGAGGGGGGTGTGATCTGATCCTATTGAAGCTAGATGGGAAATAGTAGTGGCAGGGAAAGCAGCTAACCATTGATCATATGCCAACCCTCTATCTAGTCTTTTCCAGACAATGGAGCATTGACCTCTACCATTGGACCAGGTACATTTGGGACCATAGAAGCCCAGATCAGCCAATCCACAGTCTTCAATCATGCATAAAAAGTCCAAACTTTTGTTCATATGATAAGGAATACCCCCTATCTTCTCTTCCACTGTAGCAATAACATTGAAGTCACCAATCACACACCAAGGAGAATCATAAGTTGCTGATTTGTGTCTCAACACCTCCCATAAAGGCCTTCTCAGATTTGGCTTGCATTTGGCATAGACTACTGTGAGAAAGAAAGGGATATCACTTTCAACATGTCTCATCTGTAAGGTCAATTGTTGTTCATCATAATCTATTACAGATGCAATGAATTCTTTGTCCCAAAAAACCCAAATCTTGTCATTAACATTGGAGGCAGCTTGGTGCATTGAGAGTTGGAGTTTGAAAAAGTTGATATGAGAGGTATCAAGGAATGGTTCAAGAACAACAATAAAGGAAAGTTTGTGGATGTGTTTCAGAATTTTGAGCCTTTCAATAGCTCCAGAGGTTCTGATGCCTCTTGCATTCCAAATGATTGTACTAATCATTGGAAAGAAGGTTTTAGGTTGTGTTTGCATGGGACACTGCTGCTCCTATTTCTAGCAGCTCTGCTCCTTGTTAGCCTTGGTGAAGGACTCATTCTTCATGATAGTGTTTCAGGAACATCAGCCTCCTGATTATGGTTTCCATTTACAGCAGCAATCAAGAGTTTACAGTGTTGCTCCTCTTCACTAGACTCATCATCAGCATCTTGATCCCCAAAAATTTCATTTTCTGATTCAATTGGCCTGTAGTCATCTTGCTTTGAGGTATATCTGTTAAGAGGGCATTCTTCCAAGACCATACCAAGAGGATTCTGGAGATGGTTTTTTCTAGGACTGCTGGAGGGAATAGAGGTGGTTTTTTGTGTTCTGGGTGTTGTTTTTTAATAATTGGTGGTAATGTTTGTTTCATTGTCATCTGAGGGGGGTACTTTGTTGGGGAGTAATGGTTGGGAGAGAGAGGGGTTAGCTACTGAGTTCCTGTAAGTAGAGGAATCCACTGTTACATTAGGATCAGGTCTGAAGCTTTTCTGGACAGTGAGACTCTAAAATTGGGATTCATCTGGTGGTTCATTTATGCTGATGCCTGCATTTGTGTTGCTCATAGCTTTCCTCTTTTTCTGACTGGGTTTGTTTTTTGATTTCTGAGTCTGAACTGGTATTTGAAAGTCAGCTGCAGCTTTGGCTTTTCCTTTGAGCAATACTTTCATTTGTGCAGAGGTTTTCTCATCAGAGGTGGAGGACTCAGAATCCTCTTCAACAATCACATTTTCAGAAAGATGAGCCTGTTGCTTGCCTGAATTATTGACTATGGTAGCAGGGGATGGGAGGTCAGTCCTATGGTCAATCAATGGTGCCTCAGCACACCCATGCTGAACATGAGGAAACCCCTCCCCTTTTGGTACCCCTTCCTGCTTAGCTATAGGTAACTCCTGACAATTCTCCTTGCCTCCATTAACTTCACAATTAGTAGAAATAGATGGGGGAAAGGGGGACTGGGATGATTCTGAGCACCAAAATCAACACTCCTCTCCAGTGGAGCTGGAGGATTGATAAGAGGGTTACCTGATGGTTGAGGTGGTTGTGGTGCCTGTTGTTGAGTGGCATTTGGAGCAATCTGATGCTGTTGAATGTGAGATTATTTGGGCATGTAGACTTGTTGCTGTTTCTTGCTTTGTGTGGTGCCTTTAAAGTTTTTCTTCTTCTGTGTTTGCCATTCCTCTTCTGTTGTCACAACTACAACATTTTGATGTTCTGCTACCTTTTGGTGTTGTACTGTCGTTTGATTTTTTCTTTGATCTTGAGTAGCTGGTGGTGGTATTTCCCCTGTTCCTTCTTTGGATTCTTGCTAGTTCCTGCTTCATCTCTGGACTTTTTGTTGTTGGTGGATTGGGAGTTACCTGCTGCATTGTTTTCTTCTTCCTTTTTCTTCTTTTTTCTTCTTCTTTTAGTCTGATTTCACAGGTATATTCAGAGTGACCCAGGTGCCTACAGTGAGAACAATAGGCAGGCACATTGTCATATTGGACTTCCAACCATTCTCCATCACCATTTTCATCCTGTTCCTTATCATATCCAAGCCAGACATGATGGGGTCTTTCCTTGGTTAGATCAATTTGAATCTTGATCTTAGCCACACTTCCCCTAGTTTTATGGAAAGATGCAAGGTCCAAGTATAGAGCTTTGCCTATAGGAGACAACAGAGGTGTGAGGATTTCCATGTAGTATAAATTCCATGGCAGTTCTGGGATCACCACCCATATTGGCACAATGGGAGAGTCTTCGTTTGGTTTGAATGCTGGGGACCATGCTTCCAATTTCATCATCTGGCCTTGAATATACATGTGCTGCTTACCCTAGACAGTAGAATGATCATACTCATTTTCCAGATCAATATAGACAGTCCTAGCATTGAAATGAGCTATCTTGACTGGTCCTCTAAGTTCAGTCTGAGCAATAAAGCTCTTTCTAATAGTTTCCATTCTTGGCATGGTGTTGGAAAACTTGCCTACTACTGTAAACTTGCACCTATCTGCAAATCTCACCATGTAATCTTCCCTTTTGAAAACTATTGCAGGTTGACCTTGTTTGGTGGTTATCTTTGGGGGGGGGGGGGGATAAATGCTATTGGTTTGATCTTAGATTCATGCCTAGCTCTGAGTCTTGTGACATAGGAATGGGTAATAGTGGTTACCTGTAGGTTTGTTTTGATTGGAAGAATTGCTAGGCTGTGGGTTGGGGTTAGTAGTTGATGTAGCCTGATTACCAGGCTGGGTGGGTGGGTGATTGTTTGTTGCAAAAGTTTTTGGAGGTTTTTTGGTGTTGGTAGGCTTATCAAAATTGGCTGATATCTTGGGTATGGCAGTAGCTTTAAGATTGGAGTTTGGATTGGATTGGCTCTGAGGTAGCTGGGTGGCTAATGGCTCACTGGTAATTGTTGGTTGCACAAGTGAAGGAATAGTGGTTGAGGTGGTGGTGTTGACCTTTCGATTGGGGTTAGGAATCGTTATAAATTGGATTATAATGGGTATTGGGTATATATTANTGGATATTCGAGGGAATTGGCCTATATAGAGTTGGGTTTGGATTTTGAGGATCAATATCCTGCGTAACAGGAGTATTTTGGTATTGTTTTTGAGGCAATTGGTTCATCGGAACCTCTTGTCCGGCCAAATGATGCATAACTGGGCTTTTGATCAGAGTGATCAATTGTACTGTTATAGTGATCAGAGTGATCAATTGTACTGTTATAGTGAATTGAAACTGTGCTTACCTGTTCCTTAGAGTATGAAGATGGATTTTCAATCAATGGCTTGGGTTCAATTGGTCCATGCTGAGATTTGTCGTTTTTTTGAACTTTTGAGGAATTTTGGGTACCTGGGTTCAAGGATTGCAAAATTGAAGCAGTTAGTTGATACCCATACAAAATTGAAGGTGCAAGACTGATATCTTCATTAGGACGATCATTTTGGTACCCTGCATTCTCAACTTGACCGGCAGGAACTCTATCCCGGGCGAGCTTTGTGTTACTATTTTTGTGCAGGTGATCGTTGGGGTCGATTCCATCGGTGGAAATGGCTGATTTTTGGCGAGACTGTGCATTATGTGATGGAGAAGAATCTCCATGGATTGGAATATCATTTTTTGTTCCAGAATTCAATTGGGAATTTTTTGAATCTCCCAGGCGACTGCGTGCTACAGTGACCGCCTCACCTTTCCTTTGATTCATCGCAACTGGGGAAATGTTTGGATAATCTGGTTTGGGGGGGTCATGTGCCTTGTNAATCTGGTTTGGGGGGGGGGGGGGGGTCATGCACCTTGTTACAGTGCTTCTTTGACGACTGGTCCGGTGATTTTCACCGGTGGACGGCTGAGAACCGTCCATTTTCGTTGGGACATGCACTGTAGCGAATAAATCGCACAGTACGGAGAGAGAATTGTTTTTTGGCGGTGGTAACCTTTTTTTTTTTTTGATTTTGGGGTGTAGGTTTCAGATTCGAAATTGGTGGAATTTAGTAGGGGTTTTTGGTGAAAAGGGGGCTAGGGATTACGGGGAGTGAATTTGAGGCGGTTTGGAGGTACTCCGCCGCCGTAAGGAGATTTCCGGGCGCGGAGAGAGGCGGAGCCATCGAGGGATTTTAAGGCGGCTAGGGTTAGTCTCTGAGAGAGAGAAGAGAGAATGGGGGGGGGGGGGTTTAGGGTTGGGGGGTGTTCAGACAGTTATAAGGGAATTAAGTGACCAGTTCCGAGCCGTTGGATCAAAAGAATTCAACGGTTGTGATTGAAAGACGGGAAACGATGTCGTTTGGTAAGAGGGGAATTGGACCGGGTATTTATGGGAGTTGGGCTGGGGCGGAATTGGGTAAAAAATCACATTTGGGCCATTGCATTTGCTCTTTGGGGGTGGCCCAATATCAGAAAACCCCAATTGTCTCTTTCCCATTTTCCTTTTCTTTGTTTTTCTTTTTCTTTTCTCTAATTTAAACCCTAATTACATTAATTAAATACTAAATTAATATCACCTATAAAATCAAACTAAATATCTATTTATAATAATTAAAAAATTAGTTAATCCTAAATTAATGAAGAGGAAAATACTAATCTAATATTAAAAGCTAAAATGTAGACATGAACAATTTTTTTTTGTGATTTTCATTTTAATAAAGCAATTAATTAACTAATTAATCCTAAAATATAAATACAAAACCTAATATGCAATGCATGAAATTTTTGACATTTTCAGGGCATTTTTTCATGATTTTAACAAAATTAAACATGCACAAAAAATGCAAACAATTAATAAAAATACTACAAAAATCCTATAAAATTGAAAAACAATTTGGAAAAAATCTATTTCTTCAAATTTGTAGGAGTATTTTTAGTAGGGCAAAAATCACATGCTCACAGCTGCCCCTCTTTGCTCGGAAACACGAAGAGTTTTCGGAAAAAGATAAAATGAGCAATTACGAGCGATTTTTGCCCGTCTGGATACTCTATAGGAAGCATCCTTTGGGGAAAAGTCTGACCGAACCTTGCTTCAGAGGTTTCCTACATATCCTTGGCTATAAAGGAATCAGGTCAGTGTAGTTCTGGAAGTTTTGGTAGCTGGGACTACCGAGAAACTATGATTTCATTGCTGTTACTGCTGTTTCTGCTTGCTGAGCTCCTTATTACACAAAAATGAAAAATGAAAAACTAGCTAACTAAGCCTATTAACAACGAGTTACAAGATTCCTATCTATAAACCTTCTGAAGCTCGATCTTGAGTCTGGGCTGGTTCTTCCTACAGACTCTGATCGTAATCTTGATGCTCGTTAGCTGCGAACACTGGTTCATTTTTCTTCAGCTTTTCGGATCAAAATGGGACATGCAAAGCTTGTGACTTCAATCATGTCTTGATGCTTGTTAGCTGCGAACACTGGTTCATTTTTCTTCAGCTTTTCGGATCAAAATGGGACATGCAAAGCTTGTGACTTCAATGGGACCCTATGTTGGACAAGATGTAGCTAGAGATTGGAGACCCTATGCTACCATGGTTTCGAATTTTTTCTTCTTTTTTCTTTTCATTTCACTTTTCATTTTATTTAGGAGAAGGAGTAAAGAGTTTGAAAGGGGACTTCCCTCTTTTGGGTTAACTTTTGTTGCAGAACCATTTTGGTCTCTGCGTACTTTGCTTTTATTGCACCTGATTCTCGCTAGGTTTTTTTGGATTGCACCTATTTCCTGTTTTCAAATCAAAGAACAATTTGTCAGTTTGAAACGGTGGTTGGTTTTGTGGCCATGATTGTTTCGATCACTTGATCTTGGCCCAGCTCTTTCAATAAAAATCTCCATTGCTTGTTGGCTCTCTGGAAATCGGTTTCATTTATAAACCCGGGGATCTTGACTTTCCCAAATTCCACATGATGATTAACCCGTGTGGGGCTTGGCCTTTTTCCATCTTATTTTGCCTTTATGGGCTCTTGACTTTGATTTCCTTTCTTTTCAAGAGTTTTTGACTCTCGAGCATCGGCCGTCATAGCCAGTCGAGGTCGACTCGATGCACCTGTTGAGGTTGGGTGCTTTTTCTTGAATTTTAGCTTTTGTCAAACAAACCCTATAAAACCAATCTTGCCATCTTTTCTTTGTATTAGTTTCGGAGGAGAATTAGACCGAAAGTGATTCAAAGAAAAGTAAACAAACGGACAGGATAATGAATTTAAACGAGAAGTGTTCTTTTCGGGGAAAGGAAAGAAGGACTTATCTGGAGTGTATTCAGACTTTAATAGACAAGACATGCTTCTTGGACTGGATACCCGATCTGTACAAACCATCCAAACCTCACAAACCTATCATAAACCATACCTCAAAACCGAGAAACCTTGCCAGAACTCTACCAGTGCCGATGGTAGTAAGGGATCCCTTTTTTGATCAGCGGCGCCCTTTGCGGGTTTTCACCAACCGACCTCTCTCATTTCTCCTCTCACCGTCGTCTTATAGTGCTCTTTGCGAGTTTTCACTAGCAAGACTCTCTCATTTCAATTTCTCTGCTTACCATCGCCTTATGGTGCCCGTGTGGGTTTTCACCGATAAGACTCTCTCATTTTATTTCTCTCATTTGATTGTATCAGATCAAGGTAATCACATCCTCCAATTTTGAACATCTTTACCGATTGATCGGAAGGACTTGAACAAGATTTGGGGTGAAAAGAGTTTGGATTGAATTACAACTTTGGAACCTTTCAAGCAAACCATCGCCGAACCATTATAACTTCTGCCCCAATTTCAACTTTTGGGAAAATGTGGTTTTTATTTTGGTGTGACTGAACCCCAAAGAGAGGCTGCCTACGTATCCTTTCATAATCAAGTCGAACGTAGTTCAGGGAAACTTTTGTTTTTGATTTTTTTTTTTTGCATTTTCGGGCTCCAAAGAGGGTAATCATAGAAAGGTAACCGGATCAAAGGGTTTGCAAAGGGTTGACAGTGTTTGGGTAGCGAGAATGAAAGCCTTCATCATCCCAATCGGAGAATATTAGCACCGCAGAAGGTTTAAACGTAATACCTTTTGACCGCGTCTGCATTGACAGCTGTTTCGGGGTTATTTCCTTCAATGTCCCCCAAGTACAATGCCCCTTTTGGCAATAATTTTCTTATAATGTACGGACCCTTCTAGTTTGGAGCAAACTTTCCTTTTGCTTCCTTATGATGTGGGAGAATACGTCTCAAAACGAGTTGCCCCACTTCAAAGTTCCTAGGCCACACTTTCTTGTTGTAGGCATGGGCCATTCTTTGTTGATACAACTGCCCATGGCAACTGCAGCCATCCTCTTTTCGTCAATCATGATTAACTGTTCTAGACGGGTCT